AGGGAAAGAAGGGAGAAGAGAGAAACAAGAGAATGGTGTTAAAAAGAAGGATTGTAATCTGAAGACATTTTAAAATAAGAAGAAAACTTATTGTTTTTACTTAAGGAGGACAGTTTAGTTTTGCTTTGTATGTGAAAAGGTTGAGCCATCTTATGTCACAGGTATGAACAGCTATAGGTTATTCAAAGCTGTAAGTCATAAGTGTTCTACAAAAATAAATTACCAAGGAAAAAACAGAAATCCTGTAGGAAGCAAGCTCTAGTTTGCATTAAAAAGTAAATCTAAAGACTTGTAAAACTGCAAGCAAGAACATGCACAAAAGGGACCTTTCATTTTGCAAGCACAACACATTCATCAGTTTAGCACAGCAAAATTTAACCATTCAGTATGGATTAATTAATGAAAAAATCATATTGTGATTAAGTGAGAAGAGTGTGAATAGTGTATCAGAAGAAAAAAATGCACTGTACTTTTATTTTCCAAAATGATGATTTCATGCATTAATTATGAGGAACCCATCTAGTTTATATTTCTCAACTCAACCAACCTGTCTGATGTTGGAAAGGATAAATTCTCCTCATACATATCCCCTTCTAAACCAAGACTGCTCCAGCTACTGCTGTTACCATTACTGCCAGGAGAAGAAGAGAACACAGCTGAACTAGAAAAGAACAATAGCTCAAACTAGAACCTTCATTTTCCTTAGAGCTGTTTTGTCAAGACATTTAATGCACTGAAACTTCCTAAACAGGTTTGCTGGAACAGAGTACAAACATGATTGTCAGTGCTATTCAGAACAGCAATGTGCACAATAACGCAAAACTGGTAAGTTTCAGTACACAGGTAAAAGTATTAATTTGTACTCATTAATTTTCCTTCCAGATCAGTGCTAACAGTAACTCTGTCCTCAGCTGTAAGCACATTGCTCATTGTTTATACAAGCTCAATAATTTCAATATGATTACTTATAGGAATATGGATTACAACCATAATATTCGCTTAAGGACTAGCTAGGAGTTCATAGAATTATACAGTGTGAAGACAACTGCACAAATAAAATCCTTCCATCTCATTCCAACAATCCAGTAATGATCTCCAACAGCCTGATGAGAAGGAATTCTCAGAGCAAATTAATTTTTTTTTTTTTTAAATTCTGAGTATTGTTCTACAAGCTGATCTTTTAAAAATAGGGGGGTTTATAGATCAGTGAAAACAGTACTAAAAAGATTACTTCACTCACAGTTCATAAACATACTGCATTTATTCCATGACTACATTCAAGCCAATGCAAAAAAACTGAAAAAATTGAGCATGTCCTTAAACTCGCACACGTTGGGCATTATAATTAGCAGAGTTTGTTAAGCCTGTGCTTATGTACAAGATTGAGCTACTCATATGATTAAATCTCTGTTCCCCAACTTCATACCTCCCCCACAACATGTCTGGAAGCCTTCCAAGAACAGGATTTCAAGATAACCAGCATTCTTTGATAAAGCTAGATTGTCTACTGTAGATGGTATGACAAGCCATGAAGCAACTCCAGAGAACAACTGCTGCAAGAAGATGCTTTCTTCACCTAAGTTTTGCGTGACTGTTAAAGCTCTTCTTTTCCACTCATTCCACTCAAGGCAAATAGTAAAATTTAAAACCACAAGTTGTGGAAAGAAACATTTCAAGAGACAGACATTAATCTCTTTCAAGAGCCTGCCAGTAACAGCATCATCTATCAGTGTCCTTTGCTTTCCAGTACGCCTGCTTGGATCCTAATTTCAAAACAGTAACAGCAGGTTAGCAAGCCTGCAATATGAACACACCCTAACAGGAAAAAAAAATTAAGAAGTTGCAGGTGCTTCATTCAGCAGATTGTTGCTTATTTAGACTACATGTTCTTTCTCTCATCATGCAGAAAAGAAAAAAGAAAATTAAAGAGCAGAAGCTTCCAAAGAAACCAACTTGATTTGCACAGAAAATGCAAACCTGGTCTTAAGAATGTTTCTGAAGCTACTGTGTGAGACTATCACAGTATGCATGAAGTATTAAATTTGGTTTGAATTACATGTACAGAAAAGATTTAACATAGCCTATTGATACCAATATTTTGCACTCAAACAGCCTCTTTCACTGAAAATTATAGATGCATAACATAAGCGGAAGTAAAAGCTGCCCCAGTTCTCGGACTAGAGGAAAAAGTATTTGCAACTTAACAGAATGACCTCATGCATACTATTATTCTGATTAGGTAAGAGATTAATATATTTTACAGAGGTCAAACTTGGTCTGAAATAATCATATATTTAACCATATGATTACAATGCATAGCAATGTATGAGACTTTTTTGTAACGTGACCTTTATTTTGTTGTAAGATGCCAAATTAACAGCCTTGAAATTAAAGTCCTGCAACCACAGAACAAGCAATAAACAAAGGCATTATAATGCTTCTACGACACTTCATGCAGCTCTTCAACATGAGCCAGCAGAAGAATTACAAGAAAAGCTTTTGACTTCTACATATATATATACACACGCTGTATATATGGGAATTAGAACTCAGATCATCTGCTTTGAGATTCTGCATTACGTACATACAGTCAAAGGCAAGAGGCTTCTGCTCTGAATTATAACCTAACCTGGATGCTCTGATTCCTCCCCTGGAAAAGCCTATGTCTATGTCTATGCCTATACCTATACATTAACTATAGAGAAAGCTTAAGACTATTTAATTTCTAAATTTAAAGTCGCTAATGTTAGGCACGCAAAGCAGATGATACAAGCACTCCCCTGCCTAACTAACTTTACCAAGTCTGCTAAAGAACTTTCATTCCTATTTCCATTCAAACGGAACTGCAGGGATCATGCTTTGATAACTGTTTCCAAATTGTCTTGCTCCCTTGTTTACAGAGAGTTTAATCCTCTGTGAAGTACTGAGGTATATTGAGCTGAGACGCAGAGGGCATGTACCGTTTCAACAGAGCTACTACAAAAATGTCTTTTTTCCCTGAAGTAAAGCAAAGCAAGGTAAATTGAACTAGACCACTGTAGCTTGGATTGTTGTGTTGCTTTCTGGGGACTGTGATGCTGTGTTCCAAAAAAAATTTCAACTACCATTAATGGAATCTCTAGGTTTATTATTATGAAGATAATTTCCAAGATGTCAGCTAAAGGAGTCTCAAGTACCAGTATCCATCAAATACTGCAAAGGGCCTGGAAAATACTGGGGGAAGGGAGAGGTCCTCCCCCACCAAGTAAAGCGTGCTTAATGTTAACTATGTCACTTAATGATATTGTACCAACACTACAAATAAATTGGTCTAATGATACCTAGTACCTCAAAGATGGTACAAGCAAGACTGCTGACAGCTTCTTAGACACAAGGAAGCCACTTGCATTAAGAAATAGCTGCTAGGAGAACAATGCTACCTGATAGTATATTTAAATGCTTCAAATTGACATAGTTTACATATAGTCAGCACAATATTTTTTAAACAGATGGCTCTGACCATAAGGAAAAAAAAAGGACAAAAAAACCCCAAAACAAAACCCCAAACTTTCAACTGTTGTAACTGCATAGTGAATGCCCCCTCTATGACTCAATGGCATTTTCCTTTTTAATAAAACAGTTTATGTTAAAAAGAGGAGATAGAAGCAATACATCTTCATCAATGCCATGCATTTTTTTCTTTCCTTAGAAGATGCTAACACTGTTCCACAAACAGTGTTATTACTGAATCTTGTTTCATTACAGAAGGTCTCTCCCACCCCGTATCTTTTTACTCAGGGCAATAACCCCAGATCCTGTCACTTCCACCTGCTAAACCTCAGCAACACAAACGAACCCATGTGCTGTTACCAGTCCACAGTTAGTTTTGTAAAACTAGCTGATCAGTTTGCACATGCTAGTTTCTTCTGCCAACACCTTGCTATCCAAATTATGCCTCCACTTCTCTGAGTTAAATGCTAATTCAGGTCATTTCTCCTCTAATGAGCCACGGATTTTCTTGCAAGTTACAGAAATTACTTTCTTTACCATCCTCAAAACAGATTTAAATGAAAACCAACAACAAATACAATATGGGCACTACAGGTCCAGCAAATTTTTGTACTTTTTTTTTCCAGCATCAACTAACCTATATTTTATTCACTATTTCTAACTGCCAGTATGCTGAATATTCTTCCTGATACTCTGAATTTCATCATGTAAGTTTAACTCATTTTCACTCATTCAACAGGTGTTTTCTTAAAATAACTTCAAGGCAATGTATTCTCTGACAAAATTATTCAGTTGTATGAGTGATAAATTATAGTAGTGGTTTTATTAAAATATTTAGTTAAGCAAAACATGAAAAATATTGTAGACATTTAAGTAAGCAGTTCCACTTCGGTACCAAATAGCCTATTTGTACATTACATAAGGAAGCATATCTCCCATATTTTCTTTAATCTCAGTGATGCTGGAAGTACTAACTAAAAAGAGAAAAAAAACCCCACAACTCTCCCCCATTTCTGCTGTTCTTCAGTAGAAACACTGAACTTTCTACAGTAACGTAAGTGGTATATCAATCATAAAAAAACTAAATTTACTCATTCCTTATATATTCCTTACATAGAAGCTTGGGCCACAACTCTCAATATAATTTTCCTGGTAACAGGCAGAGACATTGCAGATTTTTAAAATTCCCATTCTAATCTTTGTTAGTCATCAATCAGCCAGGGGAAGTACAGTGACAAGCTCTGTGGAAGAAGTTACTACCCTGAACAGGTAAGTTCCAATGTTACACACCTGTTTAGCTCATTGTTAGTAGTACATAAATACTCCACCAATATCAGTTAGAACAGCTTATAAATTCAAGTCCCAAAAAAAGACAAAAGTAGCTGCTAAAGCTCCTCATGCAAATTAAACTGATTTCTTTTCAAGAATAGATGAATTTACATAAAACACATTCTCAGTGGTTAAGTTTTAATATTTCAGAGCACAACCTATAAACAGTACTTTCAAGCTGTATTTTATACATGGCAGCTGTTCTTAAAACACCTGCATCTTTTGCTAATATTTAAATTATATATGTACAGTTTTACTTGATGTGACTCCCTGACATTAATGACAATGCATACCCCGCATATTTTACAGAGTGTATAGTATGAACATTCGTGGGCAAAAACATTTTGTAAGAACACACAAACATAACATTAGAGCCATTTTTAATAAAAAAAGTCATTGCATGTTGAAGACAAAATAATCTCTTCTCCCCTCAACCCCCAGGAGAAAACCACTTGATGCCAAGTTATTTGATGTCAAGGTAACTGTTTAATTATACTAACATCTTTATACTTACCTGTCACTGAGGTGAAGAAAACTGCTGCTCTCATCAGGATGTTCATCTTCAAAACTTAGATTGGACCAGCTCCCAGTGCTATCATCACCAATACTAAGACTCATCTGCTGGCTAACAACAGATTCAACAGAGTGAAATCCTTCTCTTCCAACAGAGCTAAACAAAAATTTAAGACAAGAACATCACTGCATTTCATACCAATCTCTATTAGTTCATTTACAGCAATTTAACACCATTTCAAAGACATTAAATTCCAAGGGGGAAAAAAAGGGAATCCATTAATTTGTACACTATTCTCAACACAGGAAATGGAGCAACCAAATGAATTTGAAGTTTCAACAGGTTTAGGTCAGGTCTCGCTATCTGGAATTCTTTCACTAGAAGACAAAGGGAGCAGCAGAAGTAATTCTCTCATTTGGAAGATTATTTGCTATAAAGCATAGAAGGCATTGTAGCCTTACAGACTGTGTATCAAGGTACACTTTTCAAGCAGAAGACTTACCATGTTTGAACTTGTTCACGACAGGACAGTTTGGCTATTGTCCCCTGCCTGCTTTTGGTACAACCAGCTATGTGGTCTGCTATTGTAGGCAAAGTGCTTAAGGACATGCTAGTGTTTTAAATGTCAGGATTCAATTTTTTAAAAATTACTTTCTGTAGATAAAGGTTTGTCTTCCTGCTTCAAGAAAGTGTAGCAATGCCTGACTTGTACAGAATTTTTCCCTCAGGAAATAAATTTAAATTTTTTATCCAAAAAACAATCAAGCATGTATGCTCAATAAAAGGTAGTCTTTAGAAGACACTTCAAAAGATCCAGTTTGATAACTTTAAAGAAGTCTGAACTCCTTATAAAGAAGTTACAATATGAGAACATGCAGTTGTCAACGAAGTTTCAGGGGCAAACTGTGATTATCTATATACAGATGAAGTGGTAGGAAGTTCAGGAAAATGAACATCCTACTACCACCATAGCAAGCAGCCACAGCAACATTCACTATTTGAAAAGCCAACCTTAACCACATCACTGGCAACACCTTGCTCCAGTGAGCACAAATTTGTGCAGACAAACACATAGCTTGAACGGAACCCATCTGGGTAATACAATGGTGATTTTTTCCCCATTTTTATTTACAGTTATACCAGCACTAGCAGCAGTTCTTTTCACCACACAAGGCAGCTTCTCAAGAAACATGTGCATTACATATCATACATTAGATGACAATGTAAGAAACATTTATAAATTTTGTCATAGTAAAACCCCAATATTGCCTCCTTGTCACAGATATAATAATAAACAATATCTCTTTGAACCTTACATTTTTTTTGCTGTCATATTCTAACTAAAATTTTTAAATAATATTTTTAAGAAGTGATTCAGAAACAAAGTGTCATCTTTGATACTGTAGGTATAGAAAAACATCACGACTTATTTTTTGTCCCACACTGAATAAGGACTCAACCCTGTTGTGCAGAGAGCCACGATATATATCTTACAAGCACTTTTATGCTGCTAGTATGTACGTGTTTCCTATCAAACCCTGAAAAATTTAGTTTTGTCCGACTGTGGCCCTTAGCCACTGAACATATAAAAATCAATTTTATTATTCATCATGATGCCCCTCTAAAAATGAGGAAAAGAAACCTGTAGATAGTGTGAGGAATTCCCACACAAAAAAAGTAGGAAAATAAATATTACTGTAAATTGGAAAAAACAACACAGTAAAGATTGCTCTTCGACCTGAAGAAGAGATTTCAAGTCACTCTGATCACTGCACAGTCTGTTTTAAGAAACAGCTGCTGTTTGCCTCAAAGTTACTGTGGCATGTATTTCCTCTTTATAGGTCTACTAAAGGAAACAGTATATTAGCCTTTGCTAAATACACAAGAATTTGAAAGTCAGTTCCTTGTCTATTGTATTACTTTTTTATAAACTAAAGTGTGTTTTATTAAGTTGTTTTTTCTTAAAGGAAAGGTTGTGGGTTTTTTTTTTCCAATAATAAGGACACTATCACAACACAGCCATAATCAAAATAAAGCCTTCCTACTATAAAGCAATGGCTAGTTAGGCCAGTACCAGATGTTGGTCCTACTGACAAAAGCAAAATAAATTACTTTTATTTTTTAGCACAGAAGAGGAAATACAGGTAGGGAGCAAACCTGGATTCTGTCATGGCTCACAGATCAACAAAACCCGTAAGGTGTACTATTCTCTACTGTAGGTAAAAATAACAGCATTTCAAGTAGAAATAATAAGTTTCACTTATTAGTCACCTACTGGAACATACGCATGCTGATACACATAGAAACCTTGGTATCAAGCTCACACAGGTGGAAAAAGTTTTTTTTTTTTCCTAGTTCTGAATCATTTAAATGTTACCAGAGGAATACAAAGAAAACATGCAGAACATAAAGTGTGTATTTATAAAAAAAAAAATAAGAAGTCCTTCTGAGCACATATTTGTATTAACAATCCTTCTTTTTCTGGTACAGAATGCAACAGATAAGAGAAAATTAATATTACCTTATGTTAACTGCCTGACCAATATTAGTCATAGCTGATGTCATTATTTCAGTAGTAAGGCTTTCAGCAAAACTGACTCCATCTTGTCCAATACCACTGTCAGCTGTCAGACTTGTGTAACTCAGCTCTCCTTCTGCTTTCTCTATGGCTGCAGTAGCCCCCTTGTCAGAAAGCACTGTCTTCTGTTCTACATCAACGTGAATTTTAGGAATATCAAGCTGAAACACTCTTGATTTTTGACAGGCGCCACCTAATCCAGAATGAAGAAAATGCCTCACTGGATTGGAGGTTTCTTGCGCGGGTAGATGATGAGACGTACTTTCTGTACAGTACCTGTGTTCCTTCATACTGCAGCGTCTACAGACAGTTCCAGAAAAAGGAGACAGTTTCTCAGTATATGAGAGCCTATCCCCATTTCTTCTGTTTTCAGGCACATGGAGAACAGCCGACTCTAAACTCATTTCTAGAGTATCATCTGCTACTTTCCTAGCATACTGTTCTATAGCATGAATTATGCCTTCACTGTAGCCATTTTCATTTAAACTGCCTGTACTATGATACAGTTTATGATCTGGGGAGAAAGGAAGAAATGCCCTAGAAAACCTTGTTTTAATAAGATCCCCTGTGACTTCATCAAATTCAGTCTTTTTATATAGACAGGAATCTGTTAGAGACTTTGGCAAACATGGTCCCGACATTTTCAATTTCTTCCTGACATCACAAGTGATACTGCGAGCAAGGGAGTCTGAAAAATGTAACAGCTCTGTGCATTCTGTTCTCTGTGTGCCAATATTCCTTTCATACATTTGGTCTTCACAGCGATGAATGCTGCTTTTCACTTGCTGTACTGCATCTTTCTTCACTGCTTTGATCAGCTCCAGCTTACCATTTACCTGTGCATTTTGCCCAGGAAATGTCTTTCTGTTGCATCTCAACTTGTTTTTTCTAGCAGCTTGCTGTAAGCCTGATTTGATAGACCTGTAAGCAAGTCTGCTAGCATACTGATCCATTAACAGTTCAGCATTACCACCTTCTCTTTTCAAAACTCGAATAATATGATCTGCGTATTCGTCAGTCACACTTTCACAGCTTGGGTATTTGGAAGTCAAACCTGTCATGCCCGAACCTTGTGGTAAAGGAAGTACAGATGAATCTCTCTCCCCTGGCCACTGGTCCCGCGCTGGACCACACCATTCTTTTGAACTATAATCTTTATCGCCTTTTCTCAGATAAAGGCAATCCACCTGACAGTTAACCCGCTTCAACCTCAACAGTTTACAATGCCTTGATTTCACTATTTTCTTGGCCTCACTGATGACTTTTCCTGCCATATCCCCTGCATAATTCCATAAAGAATTGCATGTCTCTTCTGGGATATTTATAAATGCAGTATATCCACATCTTTGGTTTTGCATACCTAACTGAACCTGCCTATCAGCTTCTCTGTCATTTGTTTTACCACCTAAATGGGAAGCAGCCATTTCAGTTGCTATTGAAATTATATGGCTAGCTAAGCCATCTGCATATTGAATTGTTTTTTCGGAATGCTCTTCTTTCTCAAGGGGCATTTCAGAATGATCTTCATCTTCACTACTTTCCACTTCTTCAGAAAGTGACCGCATGAGTTTCAGCATAAATTCCTCATTTTCCAAAGAGTCATGTTCAGTTTCAGACAAACCAGTAACGGACGGATTGTACGGTGTAGAAGGTGGTGTTGCGGGTGCAAATTCCTTTGCTAATTCCCCCTTGAGTTTCTTAGATAGTTTTCTTAGGTTTCTTTCAGAACTACCTTGACATGGTACTAAAGGAGTTGGTGGGGGTGTGTCAGGCATTACACAGGTATTTCCATCTTTGAGACTTGATTTATCTTCCATCTGCAAAGCATCTTCACTGCCAAACATCACTGAAGAAAAGCTATTTGCATGCAGAAAACAATCAGCCTGCCTATAAGTCAAAAGTCCTGATGATGGTTTCTGAGTATCATGAGTTTTTGAGGGCTTGTTTAAGTATGTTATTGAGCAGCTTCCTGTGTCAGGAAAGTCCTCTACAACATGCCTAGCAAACGTCACAGTGGAACAAGGAGGCGGTGATTTTGAAGAAAACCTGTGTCCTTTTTGTTCCAGCCAACAATCTTTAGATTCTGAAAAACACTGAACAGAATGAGTTGGAGTAAGAAGAAATTTACATGGATTATTCAAAGGCATCTGTTGTTGTTCCACAATTATAGAAACATTACTTTGTTTCTCAGCCTCTTGCTTCTTTATCACACATTGTTCTTTCCTACTGATATCTGTGTAAGTCTGTGAGGTCACATTACAAGCTAACTTCTCACTAGTGTTGCACAATACAGCTTTACTTTCATCCACAGATTGTTTTACGACATACTTGGCCAAGTGATCTGCAAACACATTCTTGGGTAAATCTTCACCAATACATTGCACATAAGGTTTTTTATCTATTATCTTTCTTGTGAAAAAATCTGTATACTCTTCTACTGCTTTTGTTACTCTAGATGAAGTTATGGCTTCATAAGCTTCATTTACTATCATATCTACCATAGTTCCAGAGAAAGTATTAATGCCTTTTGACCCACTTGTTAATTCTGAATTATTGTTCATTCCAGATCTGTTATTTGTTTGTTTGGTATCGTTTTGGTTATGTAAGAGTGATGGAGTATTTTCAGCACTTTGACTGTGATCTGAAGTTAAGTATATATTTCTGAAAGAAGCAACTTCCTCCTCTCTCTTTCTGCTTGTGAAAAATGGATGAGTAGGGTCTTTGTATATTTTCATACTGTCATCAGAATTCGGAGCAGTGGATACTTTTGCTTTACAGGCATCAGAGGAAACCTGATGTTGACAAAGAGCTCTTCCAGCTAAGGGCACAGGTATTGAACTTACAACCCCAGAGGTGCAAAACAGAGCTTGTTGTACTGTATATTCCTTCTTGGAATCTTGGATTGGCTTCAGTGCTACCTTATCATTAAAATTAGGAAAAACTGTGGAAGTCCGTGTTGACTCTAACATACTTTCTGCGCTCACATATTTAATGTTGTCCATGGAAACACTAATGGCTGCTTGTGTTGTGAAGGTCACATCAACCTGAGATAGTTCAATAAAAGCCTCCTGAATGACAGATTCAGACAAATCTCTGGCATAGGATCTCACCACTTTGTCTTCATAATCAAATGATGAAGGCTGTGCAGCTGTAGGTGTTGATGGATACGAAAACTGGCATACTTCCATGATTCCTTCAAACACAAGTTCTTCAGCAAGGTCTGCCGCAAACCGTGCAACCGTGTTGGTAAATATTTGTTTCTTTACGTGCCGCAGTTCTTTCAAAGCACCAGTTATAGCTTCACTCACCAAAAAGCTTGCTATCCCATTAATGGCACGCTCCTTCAGGGAGATTGCTCTACGTCTTCCGAAGAAGTTAACCTAGCAGCTAAATGACAAAGTGCATTCGTGCATGAAGAAACGCCTTTTTGCAGGTCTTTAAATGCACTGCCAAAACTTTTTTCAACTAATTCAGTTGCAAATTTTTGAATGCTATCTCTAATCATTAATGACTTGTGTTTAGATTTTGCTTGTTTACCTGGCTCCTTACCAGTTTTCATTTTGAGATCTGCACCTTGACCTTTTTTCTCTTTCAAAGCACTCCCTTTGTGTTTCGAATCATTTCCTACACATACTTGTTCTGATGAGGACTCAGAATGAAAAACAGAACCCAATATTTCAAATGAAACACTATCAGCGTATGCTGAATAACTATTATAAACTGCATCATGGTGATTTTGACCTGTCCCATCTCCACCAAGATTAACACGACATAAACATTCAGAAGAACCACAGCTCCCTAGCGGACTGAAAGCCGATGACCTAATAGGGCTGAACAAGACTCCGTTCTCTTCCCCTGATGTTTTAACTGGGCGAGGAGAATCCGGGACATCAAAGACGCTGCTATATGGTGATTCTGGTTTACGAGGAGTTGGTTTCTTTACATTGGCTGGGAGAGTGGGACGATCAAACTTGAATTTCTGAGGATTCATTGTAATGCTTGCAGAAGACAATTGTTCATGTGCAGTCCTCCTTTTCTGGGAGGGATTCCCTAGGATGGGATCCCTAATAACTTTACAAGAGTTTTCCAAGGCTTGTTCCAGCTCATCGAACTGATCAAAACTATCAAAAAATTCACTTACTTCTGAGTCTGAATCCTCTATACCATCTTTCATTACTGGAATTTTTGGCAGCTGAAGTTTTGCCTTCAAGCTTTTTTGATACCCTTCTTCATCTAAGAAGATGATGGGGCTTGGGCTGGAGCAATCTGATTCAGAGGATTCAGCTGGAGAGGAGGAAAACAATGTTTTACGTAAAAAATTAACACCTTGATCAGAAGGATTATATGGCTTATAGAAACTCCTTTGTATCCAAGGATCAGAAATTGAGGTTGTAACTGAATTTTTTACTGAGGACAGTTCCTTAAGTCCCAAAATATCAATCAAAGTAGAAGATCTGGCAGATGACTTTCGACGTGCAGAACCCACAAGGATCTTTGAGTCAACAGCTTCTAAACATTGAGCAGGGATGGTCTGTGAAGCAGCATCTCGATGGTTTCGAGAAGTAAAGCTGCATGCACCTGGGAGGGGGAGAAAAGGAGAAAAAAAAAAAAGGGATTGCTTCAAAACCATGAATTTTCACAGAACTACAGAAAACTGAGGACAGATTTTAATGGCAATTGCTGGGCTTTTTATTGTTGCAAAATGCTAGCTGATCTTTCATGATTAAAGCAATCATTCATTTTTTTTTCAAATCCTATTATATTAATCTAATCACTGACAAATTAATGTATTTTTTAGCACACAAAGTAGAACAAGATTCTATTTGATCTGCATCTGACACAAGACTAGAATCTTTGATTTATGAGTTGATAAACTGTTGTGAAAAGGACAGGAAAAAAAATTCAATTGCATAATACTCCTTTACAAAACATGATTAATGTAAAAAAATAACTATTTATTTACATTTACTTTCTCATGAAATCCCAACAGCCTAAATTTCAAATAACAACTTCTACAAGTCAACAGCATGAAAGAATTTACCAGCACTTTGTATCTTTGAAGGTTCATCTTCATCTAAGTGTTCAAAAGCAGTGACAAAATCATCCTCAATTGAAGAAACTGACTGATTAGTGTCATCATCTTCTCCATGGGATGTCTCTGTTTGATGTTTTTGCGATGAGTTTATTTCCACTGCATATCTTATGCCTGTGGTATACTTGCTCAGCAAGGTAAATATATAATCAACTTTGATCCTTGGGAATGAAGGAGACAGTCTCATCACACAAAATACTTCAGGAAGCTGATTCTTGAAAAAGAGAGCAACAAGAAAACAAACATAACCTTGGAATGATTTCAACTGTCAGGAGTAACAAGGGATTCCTTCAATGCATTTTTATGAACAGTAAACAATTTACAAATATTTTAAAGATAAGAAAATGAATGGAACAGCTTGTGTAGAGTGATAGTTAAAACCTAACTTCTGCATTCTGAATAAATCATTGCAATACACCAAACAAAGGGTTGTGTAATAAAACCCCGATAATATATACTCAAGTATCTATTAATTAAAGATTGCATGTTAAAAATCTGTAGAGGAAGACAGTATTTCAACGCCATGTTTACGCTGAATAGTACTTCAGTTCATAGGATATTTGTTTCTTCAAGGTATTTTTCACCTTATATGCAACATAGTTAAATTTAATATGCATGGTTAGTCTATATGGCTTTAAGAAGTTTGCTTTAACAACATTTATAAGTGGAAATAATATAATTAAAAACATAATAATAATATTGGAAATAAAATAATGGAAAGTATATAATTAACAACATTTATAATTGTAATTAGTCATTTTTAAATAAGAAAAGAGCCCACTGAGTTTTATGAACACCTGACATTCTCATAAGTTTTGGCACCTCTGTTTCAAGAAGAAAAGTCTGCTGAGGATGAAAGCTATATCTGAGCAGAGAAGAGATAGGTAGCTTGACAAGTTTCATCTTCTTTCCAAATTGGTACTAAAAGGGATTATAGTCCAGCAGAAGCATGGGATCAGCACCATAATTAAATATTTGTTAAATATTTTCTGTTAATAACACAGCACTTGAGAGCTCCAAGTTTATTTTTAGATTTTCTAACATTCATTTTAAAGAAACCATAGAAATATAACAACATTAATACTACTGTGGCTAAGACGGCCCAAAAACACAAGCAAGACAAGGTGTGCTATGCCTGAATTCTTTATGAGGCCAAATAAAATGCTTCTGTAATTAAGACATGCAAGAAGATACGAAGTGTTTACCTGATGTTTCATGACATAAGGTTTTGCCAAGGTTTTCTTTACATCTTTTAGAAATATAACCTCATTTTCTTTTAGTTTGCACAACTGGAGCGATTTCACAACATCTGGGAGCTCTGTAGAAACAGCTGCCAACTCCTGATTTAAATATACAAACACATTGAGAATACAAAGTGATAAAAATAACATGTAAATGATAATGGTTTTGATCTCATATCCCCTCCTAAAAAGTAACAGCTGCTAAATTTGGTAAAGCTTCTCTTTTTTCCCCTATTTCTTGTCCCATCCCCTACTCATTCTCTCAAACTGTGGTGTAAAGCTCTTGTAAACAAGCTTTAATTCAGTCCACACTCATCTCCAGCTCACTGTTATACCAAAAGAAGAAATTCCACTGTTTCTCAGGGGGCAGAAGAGGCTTGAAAGTCACAAAGGAGAACCTTGTAAGCACTGAAAAGCAGCTGCACATCCTACAAGGTACGCAACTACAAAGAGAAGGCTGAACTCAGCTAACAATGGTTCTCAATGGATCTCTACATGCTCTTAGCGTGCTTTATTGGAATGGTGTTTTAGCCCACTATTACAAAAACAGGGACAAGGCACTTCTTTAAGCACGGTCTTGGATAACTTTTAGAATTACCTAATATAGAAAAGGCCTATGAAAGAATTATGATTTTTTTTTTTAAGCAATCTAAACACTACTGATCCTTATGGTACAAAGCAAGGCTCCATAAACCTATTCAGCCCAATTTTCTCAAAATTTCATCTAACTAGACAATCAGATAGTTCTCACCCATACTTGAAAGAATGTCTAGCACTATTATAATTTGATTAATTAGCAACATTGATACAACTTTGAACACAAATGGATTGAGAGTTTCTGGTTTTTAAACATCAGAAAACTATTACAGCAATCTCTGTCTACCAAGATCTAGGCAGAGTACAAGTGTGGAGTTGCACTGTAAAACATGTATGTTATGGGTTATACTGATGTGTAAATTGCACAGGAAGATTAAATCCTTAACTTCTTAAAATGGCATGGCACAATCCCCCTAGTTTGCTACACTTCCCCTTTTAAAACAATGTTTCCTTATCTAACTCTCCAGAATAATATCTTAAGGCATAACCATAATACTGACTCCTGGTCCCCCACCAGCAATTCACAGCTAGCAGTCAATTCAGTAAAGTTTTAGCTTTGCAGATGATAACTGCATGATATTAATAAGCACAACTCTGTTAAGGAGAAGGTTACAAACCAAAATACTGATACACACAGGTTTTTAACAAAAAAAAAAAACAAAAAACAAAAGAAAACACCCCATTCCCCCACCCTGAAACTCCCCCCCCCCCAGGTAATATTTTAAATACATATAAAACACTGATGATCATATCAAAATAATTACTTTTCAACCTTTCAATTATATTTAAAACTTAGATTTTTAAATGCTTAAGGTAAATAATGTTTCATTTCTCGAACACCAAAATTACTCTATCTAAAAAATTATGTACTACTTAGAAGAAATCACTAGTGCTGAAGAACATTATTTTCCAATATAGATAGATATATACTGTACCTGCAAATGAGCAGTGCCCATCTCTTCAGCAAAACCTATAAATGTAATCTGTAAAATAAATACATAAACATATTGAAGTACAGAAAATTTTTCGTTTTCTGCAGGTACTTAAGAGTTAAAAATTCAGCAAGCTTTACCATAAAGCTTCATTCTACTGCTGTGAAAACCGTACCTTAGGGTAGCATAGCTTGCTCAAACAGTAGCACATAGTCTTACACAAAGAACAGTACTGCTATGCTATTTGACTTATGAAAGGTCAGATCAAACTAAAGAGCATATAAAACATTTAATACCCACTACACAGAAATTTTTCTAGTGGCCTATTGGCTGGTGTACGTTGAGCAACACACATATGTCTCACTACATCTGTTAAAATAAATATGATTTTGCAAAGATAAGTGCTCATCTGTCTTTGCTTCAAGCTGGACACACATAAAACAGTTCCAGTCTGAAATCTGTCCATGCTAACTAACTGTGATGCATTTGGATATACTGAAGTGAGCATAACGTCAACACATTATACAATCTACCATGTAAATCGATTAGCCTAAGGCCAAACCAAAACAGATTATTTAAGCCACATGTTTGCATGCAATATGCAAGCAGATAAACCCCTGAAGTAAAAGAACAGAAATATTCAACCTCAAATAAAAAAGGTCTTGTCAGGCTCAAGAACCTGGAATATGTCAGAAATGTCAGCATTACCTCAGGTTTTTGTGCTTATGGACAGGGGAGATATTTTATCACATATTCTCCCTCGCTTCTGTTTACAGGTGTCTTGTATCATTCAACACAAACAGACCAAAGAGAGTCAGTATTTTGTCTTACCTTCATTCTTCAGTGTCAGATGATGATCTATTTTACATCCACCACTGAAACTTTGTTTCAAACATCAGATTTTGTCAGTTCTCATTTAGTATTTTCCTAATGACAAATCAATAGTGTATCTGCATGCTCCAAAAAAATCTCAAAGCATTTATTTTCAAAACAAGGTTGTAAGAAAATAAATTTTGCTTCCATTTTGTAGATATGGAATAAAGCACAAAAATTAAATACTTCCACTGATGTTTCGACTTAAGTTTGATATGACTTGGATTCAATTATTTCAGAGCACTACGCAACAGACAATTTTATGCATTGAAGTCACAGCTCACACTAAATTTATAGCAGCTACTCCGTTACTGTAAGGTAATCGGTTCTCAAGTTTAAAAACAGTAAAGAACATCAATATGTTTATAATCACTTATTATTAACTGGTTCAGCTACTTGCTTGTGCATACATAGAATCTATGAATGGAACAAATCTAGAAAACAAAATGGCTGAAAAACAATTCTGTTTTGAACTATATTTGAGTTTTGAATGTGTTTTTTCAATGTGTGACCAAAAAAAAAAACCCGCAAACTTTCTTTTAAAATGAAATCATACTAATATTAAAAATGCTGACTGGTTTATTTCAGGGGGTCTCATGCTGGGAAGCTACTGTGCCCCCAGAAAAGATCTTCCTGTCTACATCCACTTATCTTTATTTCAATTATGACAAAATTATAAATGAAACAATGCTTTTCAGTAGCATTCCAAATAGCTCCCGACAAATTACAGGTCTCCAACACCATATTCATTGTGTTAACTACGAAACAACCCTGTTTGAGCAATGTACCCTTCAACACCTACATCTTTTCTTCAACTCCTAAATCTTTTATCTGCACAGTATCTGCAAGACACCTTTCAACTCCTACATCCTTTTATCTGTATAGTATCTACAATATGAACTGAATTCCTCCACAGAAGGGGCAAAATAGCAAACAATTTAAAGGACTTGGAAAAAAAGTTCTCTGAAGAACATTTTGGGAGGCTTTAGGGTTTGTTGCTGTTGGGGTTTTTTCGGTAGGTTGGTTTTTTTTAGTGGGCGTTTTTTCTTTTGTCTTCTTACGTGCCCTTTCCTCTTCCGCGAGATAATGATTCCAACCCTTTCCTTCTCCCATGGGATAACTCATTGTGCAAGACAGGCAGTATGCAGGAGTCATAGCTTCATACAAATGAAGGCCAACGAGTCCACATGTACACTGATGGGCCAGCAGATCGCTGTCAAAGAGACCACACCACTACTGAGTCTGCCTATTTTTGCCTCAGTGACAACACTAATTTGGATTTCTTTATTGTGCCCAAACTCCATTTTTCACAGAAAAATAATCACCTTTTAAGATCTCGAACATGTCTGAAATTAGTACACCAGGTCAAAAGCTGTTGAGGAGTAGGCCAGGGAAATAGAAAGGCCAACAGTTGGTAACAGAAGCCTTTTCTTTAAACTAAAAATAGTATGAGACGCTGTACCTGAAGGTTATCATAACCCATGGGTACAGAGGAAATGAATTTAAATGGTACAGGAAACCTAAATTCTGGTTTTTGTAAGTCTGAGTAATTATCTTCGCAGTCCTAATAATGTTCTTTTAACATTACTCTGCATATAGGTG